TTGTTTAAATTTATTCCTAGTTGTTTTATTCTTTTTGTTACAATTATAAATGGAATTGTTTGCTTAATTGCTCTTTTTAATAGTTTGTTGTTAGAATATAAAAATAAAACAGATTTTTGTATTGAATATCCTGTAACTTTGCTCAGTTTTTCTCAGTTTTTTCAGTTTTCTGGTGGAATGTTTAGGGTTTTCTATGTGTTTCTATGTCATTGGCAAATAGCGACAATTTACTTCCTTTCTAGTTTGGATTTTTACCCCTCTTATTAGGACTTTCAGTACTATGGGAATAAAAGCTGTAGAAGTGGACATCTCTGTTTTTTTCCTTGTCTTACATGCAAAGTTTTCAATTCTCACCATTGAGTATGATCTTACCTGTGTGCTGGTTATATATAGCCTTTACTACATTGATGTATGTTCCCTCTATACCAAATTTGTTGAGTTTTTCTCATAAATGGATATTGAATTTCCTCAAATGCTTTTTCTGCTCCATTGAGATGACTGTATGATTTTTATTCTTCATTTTGTCACTGTGGTGTATCATGTGATTGATTTGCATATGTTGAATCATCCTTGCTTCCCTGGAATAAATCTCACTTGTCCAAAGTGTAAGGTCATTTTGATGTACTGTTGGATTCAGTTTGCTAATATTTCACTGAGGATTTTTGTATTTAAGTTCATCAGGGCTATAATTTTCCTTTCTTGTGGTATCCTGATCTGATCTTGGTATCAGACCTCATAAAATAAGTTTGAAAGCATCTCCAGCTCTTGCATTTCTTTGAAGAGTTTGAGAAGGATTGGTGTTATTTCTTCGTTGAATGTTTGGTAGATTTTACCAGTGAATCTGTCTGTTCCTCATTTAATTTGGAGGTTTTTGGTTACTGATTTAATTTCCTTACTTGGAGCTGTTGTGTTCACATTTTCTATTTCTTTGTGATTCAATCTTAGTAAGTTGTATGTTTCTAAGAATGATATATGATAAATTTCTTCTAGTTGTCCAGTTTGTTGGTATAAAACAATTCATAGTAGAAGAAGAAGTGGCAAGAATACACAGAAGAACTATACAAAAAAGATCTTCACTACCCAGATAATCACGATGGTGTGATCACTCACCTAGAGCCAGACATCCTGGAATGTGAAGTCAAGTAGGCCTTAGGAAGCATCACTGCAAACAAAACTAGTGGAGGTGATGGAATTCCACTTGAGCTATTTCAAATCCTGAAAGATGATGCTGTGAGAGTGCTGCACTCAGTATGCAGGCAATATTTTGAAAACTCAGCAGTGGCCACAACTGGAAAAGGTTAGTTTTCATTCCAATCCCAAAGAAAGGAAATGCCAAAGAATGCTCAAACTACCACACAATTGCACTTATCTCACACGCTAGTAAAGTGATGCTTAAAGTTCTCCAAGCCAGGCTTCAGCAATACATGAACCGTGAACTTCCAGATGTTCAAGCTGGTTTTAGAAAAGGCAGAGGAACCAGAGATCAAATTGCCAACATCTGCTACATCATTGAAAAAGCAAGAGAGTTCCAGAAAAGCAGCTATTTCTGCTTTATTGACTATGCCAAAGCCTTTGCCTGTGTGGATCACAATAAACTACCGTAAGTTCTGAAAGAGATGGGAATACCAGACCACCTGACCTGCCTCTTGAGAAACCTGTATGCAGGTCAGGAAGCAACAGTTAGAAGTGGACATGGAACAACAGACTGGTTCCAAATAAGAAAAGGAGTACGTCAAGGCTGTATATTGTCACCCTGCTTATTTAACTTATATGCAGGGTACATCATCATGCTGGGCTGGATGAAGCACAAGCTGGAATCAGGATTGCTGGGAGAACTATCAATAACCTCACATATACAGATGACACCACCCTTATGGCAGAAAGCGAAGAACTAAAGAGCCTCATGATGAAAGTGAAAGAGGAGAGTGGAAAAGTTGGCTTAAAACTCAATATTCAGAAAACTAAGATCATGGCATCCAGTCCCATCACTTCATGGCAAATAGATGGGGAAACAGTGACAGACTTTGTTTTGGGGGGGGCTCCAAAATCACTGCAGATGGTGACTGCAGCCATGAAATTAAAAGACGCTAACTCTTTGGAAGAAAAATTATGACCAACCTAGACAGCATATGAAAAAGCAGAGACATTACTTTGTCAACAAAGGTCTATCTCGTCAAGGCTATGGTTTTCCCAGTGGTCATGTATGGATGTGAGAGTTGGACTATAAAGAAAGCTGAGCACTGAAGAATTGATGCTTTTGAACTATGGTGTTGGAGAAGACTCTTGAGAGTCCCTTGGACTGCAAGGAGATCCAGCCAGTCCATCCTAAGGGAGATCAGTCCTGGGTGTTTGTTGGAAGGACTGATGTTGAAGCTAAACTCCAATACTTTAGCCACCTGATGTGAAGAGCTGACTCATTTGAAAAGACCCTGATGCTGGCAAAGACTGAAGGTGGGAGGAGAAGGGGACAACAGAGGATGAGATGGTTGGATGGCATCACTGACTCAGTGGACATGAGTTTGGGTGAACTCTGGGAGTTGGTGATGAGCAGGGAGGCCTGGCGTGCTGCGGTTCATGAGGTTGCAAAGAGTTGGACACGACTGAGCGACTGAACTGCACTGATCTGCTTTAAGTTCTCTTTTATTTCTGATTTTGTTTGAGCCTTCTTTCTTTCTTTCTATTATGTCTGACTAAAGGTTTTCTAATTTTGTTTGTATTGGCAAAGAATCAGCTTTTGCTTTTATTAACCTTGTCTGTTGCCTTGTTAGTCTCTATTTCATATATTTCCTCTCTGATCTTTATTATTTCCCTCATTCTACTAACTTTGGGCTTCATTTTGTAATGTGTGTTTTTCTAGTTCCTTAAGGTGTAGAGTTTGGTTGCATATTTGAAAATTTTCTTATTTCTTGAGGTAGTTGTTTATCACTAAACTTTCCTCATAGAATTGAGCAGTCCTCATAGAATTGATGTCTAGTTTCATACCATTGTTGTCAGGAAATGTGTTTACATGATTTCAACCTTCATAAATATATTAGGACTTCCTTGTAGCTTAACATATGATCTTTTCTAGAGAATGTTCCATGTGAATTTAAGAATATATTATGCTGTTGCTGAAATGTTCAGTATGTAAGTTTTAAGTCAGTCTGGTCTGAGTCATTGAGGTGCCACGTGTATTTATAGATTTGACTTTCTTTTTTCTTGAATATTCTTGGTCGTTGATTTACTGTTCATTTATTTGCTTTGTTTATGTTTTCTTCAAATAGTTATAATTTTACTTGTCATTTCCATTCTCATGTTTTGTTTATTATGTTTTCAGTCAGTTCAATTACTTAGTTGTTTCTGACTCTCTGCTACCTCATGGTCGCAGTTTTAAAGATCAGTAATGTCTATAAGGAATGTCTTAATTTTTAAACTTATATTGGAATCTTAAAGCTGGTTCTAGAAATCTTTACATTCATTGACACCTTTGGTGAATGACCCCTCAAGTGGAAAACTGTTCAGAGTGCTCAGATGGTGTTTGAATAACATTTTCATTGTATAATATTGAAAAGAGGGTAGGAGCATGAGCTTTTTACTTGTAGCCCCAATTTTTTATAGAAGGAGAAAAATGGAATTCATAGAATGAATTCCAAGTAGAAGACAAAACTGTTTCAGAATTAATCTTCTGTTCTCTTTCTTTTTTCTGTTTCTAAAACAAAGTCACAGACTTGATATCCTACAGCTAATAAGTGGCCCAGCTGAAATGCTTCATAGAAGAGAGTGTAGGATTTAGAGTAATATTGTATTATTTTATTTTTTTTGTTAAACTGAAAATTTTCAGTATGTTTAATTAGTTCATCTTTATCAGTAGGACCAAGTATAAAACTTTAGGAAAGAAACTTACTTAAACCCTGTTAAAGATAATAGCTCAGGAACAGTGGTAACAATATTAGAAATTAAAATGGTCATGACAGCAGGATTTCAGGTTGGTATAGGAAAGGTCAGTGAAACCCCAAAACATTTATTTGAAGACGAAACAGATATATGTTCTTAATCTCAATGGCTTAGGACTTACATGAGTTAAGAGAGGACAGGAGGAGAGTAAGTAGAAACAGTAAGTACTGATAACTCCTGAGGATCATCGCTATAAAGGAAGTAAAGTGATGGGTGATAGTTTGAGAGAGATGCAGGCTTAATAGCTTGAGAGAGATGTAGGAAGAACTTTTCTGTTATGTTTTATTGAGAACAATAAATTTGATTTGTTTTATTTATTGAGAGATGTTAGAACATGTTTGTATTTGTATGTGTTCTGTTAAAAAGCAAAATTTAATCATGTTGGGCAGATTGGGGATTGTTTCTTCAGTGTTGACTTCAGGTTGACAGGAAGTAATGGGAGCCACTGTGTAAGCTGAGTTTGTCTTTAAATAAGGACATGGACAGTACACCCATGGTAATAGATGGGAGGACAGAATATATGGAAGTAAATATAGGTAGGTTATTGATCCAGTGGTAAGAGACGAGGAGGTTTTCCTCTAATTGCTTTAATTTTCCAGGTCATCAACTGATAGTATCTGAAAGAGAGGGGAAAGAAATGGACTAGGAAAGTGAAATGAAAAGAGAGCTCTGGAAGACCATACATTTCAAGAAAAAAAAAAACCTGGCCTTCTTTACATATTTCTATTACCAGTGTGGCCCTTGAAGTTAATATTGGGATCGTGATTATACTCTTCTGTTTCAGAGAATTATTTTTTTCTTATTCCTCAACCCCCTTGAGGGAGGGAGTATTAAAAAATAGCTGTTACTTTGGACAGGGCTGGGTATCTATTTTTTTTTTAAGAATAACAACACAGTAATGTTTGATGGTCTTCTAAGTTAGATATATTCAGTTGCTCAATTGTATTTATACTTATTAACTACAGTGTCAAAAAACAAAGAATAGGATAGTTGATATTCTGTTTTAACTTTGGGGTTCTTTTTCATTTAAAAAATTATATCATACATTTTTCTTCTTCTTCTTATAGATGTTCTTAATAGTTGCTCCTCTTTCTGTCCTCTACAACTGGAAGGATGAGCTGGACACCTGGGGATACTTCAGAGTCACTATTTTACATGGTAACAAAAAGGATAATGAACTGATTCGTGTGAAACAGAGGAAATGTGAAATTGCTCTAACAACTTATGAAACCCTGCGCTTATGTCTGGATGAACTTAACAGGTAATCAGAATAATGGGAGTGATTGCATTAGAATTCTGCTTACATCAGTTGTATTTATCCCTTTGTATTGTGGGACTCCCCAGGCAGCTCAGTGGTAAAGAATCCGCAGAGTTGAAAGAGACGCAGGTTTGACCCTTGGGTTGGGAAGAAACCCTAGAGGAGAAACCCACCCAGTATTCTTGCCAGGATAACCCCAAGGACAGAGGAGCCTGGTGAGCTACAGTCTACGAGGTCACAAAGAGTTGGACATGACTGAGCAATTGAACGCTTTATATTGTAATTTTTTTTAAGCTCTAAATATTCTGTAGCATTATTTAACTTGATTTCAAAGTTATTGAAATAGACAGTTATAGTAATTAACTCATTTTCTAAGAAGGAAAACCTGAGTCAGGGTTTCTGCAGTTCCTTATTTCCTCTATTACCTCTTCAAGCAGTGCCTGTTAATGAATGAGATTTGTCCTAAATCTCATGTACAATGTTTTGTGTGTTTGATGCCTCTAGACTAAAATAGTGAGTTTCATGAATGATTTTACTAATGGGAGTCTGTTGTTAATGTAGAATGGCAAAAAATAACACTTTTTGAGCCACTGTTCTAAGACTACAGGTACCCAAAAGAAATGAACTGTGTTTTAAGATTTTAGTGGGGAATCTAGATACAGTCAGTTATGAAGTCATGTGTGTGTTATGATATGGAATAGAGGATGTTGTGGGAGCACATGAGGAGCCTGACTCCTGCAGAGTGAGGAGAGTAGTCAGAGAGCTTCCCAGAGAAGATGACCTCTGAGCTTACTGAGGATTGAAAGATGAGTAAGAGTAGGAAAGAGTCGGAAAATCAAGCAAGAGGGAACAAACAACATTTGCAGAGGCCTCCTGACAACAAAGGTCACAGCACTTTTTAATAAATGAAAGCAGTTCTAATGCTTTGTGCATGTAATGACTATACCTAGAATGTAAAAGGGAAGTGGCCAGGAAACAACACCAGTGTGGTAAGCAAGGAATAGATCATAAGACTATTTAAAGCTTCTTAGAGGATTTTGATCTTTATCCTTAGAACAATAGAGTCTCCCTGAAGTGTTTTCAGAGGATTACTCTTATGATAAAAGATTATCAGATTTGCATTTTACAAGTCATCATGTTGCTGTTTTGTGCAGAGTAGAGCCAAATTGAATGGTGAAAATCCAATTAGGAGGCTTGTTATGTCCAAATTCATGTGTTCCAGTCTCAACTCCAAGGACCTTGGAATGTAACTAAAGGTAATTAAGTTAAAATGAAACATTAAGGTGGGGACTGAGGCCAGTCTGCCTGGTTGTCCTTGGAAGAAGAGAAGGAGTTGCCAGGAGCTCCTATACACAGAGGAAACGATACAGGAAGATGCAGCAGGAGGGCAGTAGTCTGTAAGCATAGGAGTGAAAAGAAAATGAAAGTTGTTCAGTCATGTCAGACTCTTTGTGACCCCCTGTGGACTATATAGTCTGTGGAATTCTCCAAGCTAGAATATTGGAGTCGGTAGTTGTTGCCTTCTTCAGGGGATCTTCCCAACCCAGGGGACTGAACCCAGGTCTCCTGCATTGAAGGCAGATTCTTAACCAGCTGAGCCACCAGGAAAGCCCAAACATAGGAGAGAGACCTCAATGGAAACCAAACCTGCCAACACTGATTTTGGAATTCAAGCCCCCAGAAATGTTGTGTCTGACATCTTTTGCTCATCATCATGTTTTTGAGAATCTGCTGTGTTATTGAATGTATCAGTGATCATTCTGTTTAATGCTGAATTGTATTGCATTTTATAAATATATCACACTTTGTTATCTATTCACTTGAGGATAGATATTTGGGTTTTCTGGTTTTGGTTATTAAAAGTAAACATTTAAGTAATATTTATGTGTAAGACTTCTTTGACATACATTGTAATTTCTCTTGGGTAAATTCCTAAGAGTGGGATTTATGCATGAGAAGCCATTTTTTCAGAGTGGTTGTATCATTTTACTCCAACTAGCAACCCAGTAGAGTTCATTTGCTTCATATACTCACCAATATTTGGTATTATCTGTCTTTTTGTTTTTAGTGTGTGTAGTTGGATCCCATTACAATATAATTTGCCTTTATCTGATCTATGTACCCTTGAAATAAGTGTTCTATAATTGTTGGGTAAACTGTTCTATAAATATCAGTAAAGTCAGTTTGGTTAGGTGTTGTTCAAGCATTCTCTGTCTTTACTGGTTTTCTTCCCAGTTGGTTTACAGTTTCTGAGAGAGGAATATTGAAATCTTCAATTACAATTACAGATTTGTTTATTTCTCCTTTTATTTCAGTCAGTTTTCAATTCATATATTTTGAAGCTTTGCACTTAGGTACACACATATCGATGATTAGTATTTTTTCCTTATGAATTGACCCTTTTATCATTAAAAATGCTCCTTTTTTGTCGATAATCGTGATATTTCCTCTGATGTTAATATAGACAATACAGTCTTATCCTTGTGTATGATTATCATTTTCCAGCCTTTAATTTTTGTCTGTTCTTTAAGGTGAGTCTCTTGTGGTTACATATTATCAGGTCTTGCATTTTTATCCATTTGGATAATCTGTGCCTTTTTATTTGGAGTGTTTAGTTCATTTATATTTAATGTGGTGGATTTAGAGCACCATTTTTGTAAGCGCTAGGATTTTATTTTACTTCATTTACAAACTCATAAGTTTGCCTGTTAGTATTTCCTATATGCTGTCAGAAGACAGGAACAGTCTGCGGCATGAAGTTAAGTAACTGGTATAAGCCTGCAACAAGTCGGGGTGAACAAGCGGTTTAAATCTTGACTTTGAATTCAATATGTAAGAGATATTCTACAGTTAGATAAATGTAATAAGTTTATTTATCTTAGCACCAGTCATATTTTAGTTTTTGTTTGACTGTCTGCCCCTTTAGACTGTGAGGTCTTTGATACAGGATAATTTCTGTTTCATTGCTTATTACACTTCCAGGCATATAATTGTGTTAAATGGTTATTTTCTGTGTTTGTTATAAATATTAAATAAAAATTCCAAAGTAGAGTTATGTAAATATAAATCAAGTTTCTGTGTAAAATAAGAAAAATAAAGTGTTTCAGCTTCTGTGGTACTCAGCTTTCCTTTGTTTGAATAGTTTTATTTGACAAACATTCAAAATAATTTATATTCAATCTGAGTAAATACTAAGTAATTTTTGTGAGAATGTTCTAAATGATAGACCAGGATTTATCATAGACAATATACAGAGTAGATAAACACTATAGGAGTGGAGCTGTATCTCTTTTTGTTATTACTGTTAATGTTTTACTTTATTTTTATCAAAGTTATATACTCATTTCAAGAGCCAAATATGAACACAGTTCATTCCTCTCTGCCGCAACCATTGCCTTTTCTTCAGAGACAGTCACCTTCAATTCTTCTACTTATCTTTTTAGTTTTTACTTCCATATCTCAAAGATCACATTCATGCTGCAACTTAAAACTTATTTCAGTTTTCAGCATCACTTGTTGATTTACTATAATGAAAAATGATGATTTTGTTGTCTTTTGCCTCCTGCTTGCTTTACAGTGTCCTGGCTGGGATAGTTTGTGTAATAGGAAATAGTATATAGGAGATCCAACAACTTCTTAAACAGGCTGTAGAACATTTTGTGGTTGTTCAGTCACTAAGTCAAGTCCTACTTTGCAACCCCATGGACTAGAGTGTTCCAAGCTTCACTGTCCTTCATTGTCTTCCAGAGTTTGCTCAAATTCAGGTCCTGGGAATCAGTGATGCTATCTAACCATCTCATCCTCTGCTGCCCCTTTTCTTTTTGCCATCAGTCTTTCCCAGCATCAGGGCCTTTCCCAGTGAGTCAGCTCTTCCCATCAGGTGGCCAAAATATTGGATCTTCAGCATCATTCCCTCAAATGAATATTCAGGATTAATTTCCTTTAGTATTGACTGGTTTGATTTCTTTGCTGTCCAAGGGACTCTCAAGAGTCTTTTCCAGCACCATGATTTGAAAGCATCAGTTTTTCAGTCCTCAGCCTTCTTTATGGTCCAACTCTGACATAGATACATGATTAATGGAAAAACCATAGCTTTGAATATGGACCTTTGCTGGCAAAGTAATTTCTCTGGTTTTAAATATGCAGTCTTGGTTTGTCATAGCTTTCCTCCCGTGAAGCAAGTGTCTTTTAATTCATGGCTGTAGTCACCGTCCATAGTGATTTTGGAGCCCAAGAAAATAAAATCTGTCACCTTTTCCTCATCTGTTTGCCATGAAGTGATGGGGCCAGAAGCCATGATTTTAGTTTATTGAATGTTTAGTATTAAGCCAGCTTTTTCACTTTGCTCTTTCACCCTCATCAAAAGGCTTTTTGCTTCCTCGTCACTTTCTGCCATTGGAATGGTTTCATCTGTGTATCTAAGGTTATTAATATTTCTGCTGGCAATCTGGATTCCATCCTGTGATTCATCCAGCCCGGCATTTTGCTTTATGTACTCTGCATAGAAGTTAAATAAGCAGAGTGACACCATACAGCCTTGTCATACTCTTTTCCCAATTTTGAGCCATTCTGTTCTTCCATCTCCAGGTCTAACGGTTGATTATTGACCTGCATACAGGTTTCTCAGGACACAGGTAAGGTCTGGTTTTCCCATCTCTAAGAATTTTCCACAATTTGTTGAGATCCACACACTCAAGGTCTTTAGCATAATGAAGCAGAAGTAGATGTTTTTCTGGAATTCTCTTGCTTTCTTTGTGATCCATCAAATGTTAGCAATTTGATCTCTGGTTCCTCTGCCTTTTCTAAACCCATCTTATTCATCTGAAAGTTCTTGGTTCATGTACTGCTGACGCCTCGCCTGAAGGAAATTGAGCATTACCTTGATAGCATGTGAAATGAGTGCAGTTGTATAATAGTTTGAACATTCTTTGGCATTGCCCTTCTTTGGGATTGGAATGGAAACTGACCTTTTCCAGCCTGGTAGCCATTGCTGAGTTTTCTAA